CCCCCCCCCCCCGCCCTTAAGCAGGCAGGCTGGCCTCTGGAGACAAAGGTTTTGCTCAACTGCCTCACCCCAGGGGGGACTAGTCATCCCATCCAGCCAGAAAAAGAGGTGGCCAGAGGTTAAGAATGGGGGAGGCATTGCAGGGGAGAGCTCAGAAGGAAGGAATTGGTACAAGGGGACGAATACTTCTGCTGGCTGGCCAGGAGCTGTAGACAAAGAGGGCCGCCCGCCCCCTGGGAGAATTACTGGCTGCCAATCTGCCCTGCCAACCCAGAGTGAGTGAATTATTTCACACATACTAGCCAACAAAGGGACACCTGCTGGTTGCTCTTTCTGTAATGATCTCTTCCCACTGTTCCTCTGGCCAGCTCCAGCCAATTCTTCAGAAATCAACTCTTCCAACAACTCTTCCCTGAGTCTCCCTATCCCTATAATAGGGTCCTCTCCTCATGGCCCCAAGCATCCTCTACATAACCTATTATCATTCTACCTCGGCATCCTTCAAACTTGATGGACCAGAAAACTCCTTCCCCGTTATTTATAATCAATTTCATAATGATTATTTTCCATTGTTTCTCTTCTGTTCATAAAGAAGCAATTTAAATTTTAAAATAATTTCCTTTACATCACATATTAATAAGGATTTATTTTTTTAAGAAATCCTCACCCAAGGATATTTTTCCATTGATTTTTAGAGAGAGTGGAAGAGAGAGGGAAAGACAGAGAGAAATATTGATGTGAGAGAAACATATCGACTGGTTGCCTCGTGCATGCTGGAGCCCTGACCAGGGAGGAGTCTGCAACCCAGGTACGTGCCCTTGACAGGAATTGAACCTGGGAACCTTCGGTCCATAGGCCGACGCTCTATCCACTGAGCCAAACCAGCTAGGGCTTACTAATGATTCTTTAACATATTAACAAAAAATTTTTTTTGCATGTTTAGTAGCTGCCAGACACAGTTCTAGATGCTTGAGATGCATTATTGAATAAAACAGGCAACGTTCCCTACCCTCTGGGGCTGACATTCAAGTAGGAGAGACAGAAAATAAACACATGAATAAATAAATCATAAAGTATGTTTAAAAAAGAAACTTTGATGGCATTCCTAATCCATAAAGACCTCTTAGTTTTTGCCACTTAATCAAGTGATACAGGCCAATTTACTTTTAAAAATATATATGTTTTTATTGATTTCAGAGAGGAAGGGAGAGGGAGAGAGATAGAAACCTCAATGATGAGAATGAGAATAGAATCAATCATTGCTCGGCTGCCTCCTGCACACCCGCTACTGGGGATCAAGCCCACAACCCAGGCATGTGCCCTGACCGGGAATGGAACTGTGAACACCTGGTTCATAGGGAGATGCTCAACCATTGAGCCACACTGGCTGGGCCAGGCCAAATTACTTTAAAACATATCAAGATCATTGTCAGAATAGAAGCCTCTTTTCTAATGGAAACATTTTTTTTGTATTCTGCCCCAGCAGACTTTAATCTTATGAATCAGTGATATTAGAATATAATATGGTTATAAAAAAGAAAAATTCTTTATAGAAAGCAGTAAAAACTTACATTTCCTTTTACTTAATCTCTAGTTTACATATATCCATGCCTGGCCAAAGTACAATCATAAGCTCAGATGATTTCCATGCAACCATTCCACAAATTTAGTGATTTTATATTTTTCAAAAGCATTGCCATCAAAATAAAAAGACAAGTACAAGTGATTTTCAAAAAAATAAAAAGGCAGGTTATTAATTTGTCCAAGAGAAACTCAGACTTCAAGATAAATTCTATAATCTTGAAACTCTTTTAACAAGTGACATAAATATAGGGTTTACTTATGAAATTACATTTAGCATTCAATAAGAAAATATTACTTTTTTGTAGCAGACATATTTTTCATTCTAGTTCTCCATTTCTATAAACATGAAGCCATGTGCTTCTGTAAAACCTGACTCTAAGAAACCTAAAATATAAAATTCTGAACAAAGGTCAAAGTTATGATAATCTGATTTAAAATTTTAAACCTTATGTGATGGGTTTTTAAAGCTTTAATTGAAAATGCTGCTCAGTATTTATTAAACTTTTCTCGTTATGAACATCTTTATTAGTTGAGGTATTTCTTTAGCAAGAAACTCATCTACCTTTTCATTATTCAGTGGCTTAGTTCCCATAGGAGCAGCAGAATAAATGCTTGATTCTTTACCTTATTTACTAGTTTTCAAAATAATGAGTTGATTCCTCCAAAAGTGGCCATAATGTTTTTTGAGTGCCATTATGAACCCATGGATTTAAACAGATGTGTGTTTCCATCCATTGAAGTTATTATTCTCATTTATGCTCAAATTGTCCCAGCTTTGGCCTTTGGGAGCCTTTTTGTTGGTTCCTGTGCCCTCCTGAAATGACCTTGCCAGTCTTTTATTGCTAACGGCTTCCTTGCTTTCTGGTTTGACCAGATGGTCCAGCCTCAACTTGTACATTCTGGGAAATTGTACCCTGGCCAGTGTGGCTCAGTTGGTTGAGCGTCATCCCCTGCACCTGCACTAAAGGGTTGCTGGTTCAATTCCTGGTCAGGGCATATGCCCAGATTGAGGATTTGATTCGCCCTTGGGATGTGTGGGGGAGGCAGCAGATCGATGTTTTTCTCTCTCTCTCCCTTCCTCTCTCTCTAAACTCAATTAAAACATATTTCATTTTAAAAAATGTGGGAAATTTTATCTTTTAATTGTCTTAAATATGAAATTATTAAACATCGGAGGTCCTAACGTCTAGTCCCATGCTTGGTAAATGGTTAATAAATGCTGGTTGGCTGAATAAATTAATTATTATCACCCTCACTACATTTTAAGTTCCTTAGGCCAGAACCATATACGTCTGGCAAGTATTTGTTGAGTAGATAAATGGAATGAAAACCAGTTAGGTGATACCAATGAAAGTCTTAGGCAGGGCAGAACCTTGATATTTGTGGTCCTCTATCACCCTCTGGTGGGGAAGTGCAGAGCATCATCCTCCAATGCTTTAAAATCTAGTGTTTTTCAAACTACGTATAGAGCCCCATCCATTAGTGAATTGTAAAATTAATTCTGTGGGTCATAACCAGCATTCCTAATTGAATTTATAATTGAATAGAAAATATCAGAGCACCTTACACAGAGTAGAGGCAAATTCTGTCACAAACTGTCATAAAGCTATATTTATAGCTATATCTATGTATCCGTTAGCATATATATTTATTTATATGCTACATATATACTTTTATGTGTGGGCTGGACCACAACCAGTGATTTGTTGGGAAATGTGTAAGTATACATGTACATAAGTTTGTTATAGGTTTTTCTTAATATAAAAAAATATGTAGCACATAGTTTAGAAACAATGAAATGAGCAAACATCCTTAGTTGTAAATCCCATATAGCTAAGTAATTCTCACAGAATGCTCTCACTGATTTTTGCTGGGCTCTTGCATCCACAGCCAGCCTGTAGTTTCCAGTCAGCCATGTTTTGACCAATGGCGTTGCATCTGATCTGTAGCGCCTGCCCATTTCCTGGGTGTAAATACTCCCAACATGGCGACTGTCACTGAACATGGAGTTGGGAAGAACTGCACCTGGGAATGTAACCTAGTTTGGAAATAGCGTCTTTGCAGATCTGACTAAGGGTCTCGAGATGAGATGATTCTGGACTGAGGGTGGCCCTCTAAAGCTAACGCCTAGTGTCCTGATCAGAAACAGGAGAGAAGACACCGAGGAAGGAGGGCCACGTGAAGACAGGAGAGGCGGGAGCTGTATGGCGGCAGGAACGCCAGGGGCTGACAGGCAGCGCCTGGAGCGAGGAGAGCGCCCTGGGGGGACCTGGCCTCAGGGCCTCCGCAAGGACCAGGCCTGCCCGCGGCTGCATCTCAGGCTGCTGGCCTCCACGTGGCAGGTCATGCATTTGTTTCCCTCGGCCATCAGGTTGGCGGTGATTTGCTATGACGGCCCCGGAAACTGATCCAGTAGCAAAGGGATGACCCCGGGGTGGGAAACGCTGAATGAGGCACCCCCCATGCCGGGGAGTCTGAGGACTTCGCTCCGTGATAAGCTGAGGACTGAGTTCCCAATACCCTCATCTGAGCTCCTGAACAGGCCCCGGACCAGCATTTTCACTCACTACAAATAAGTGTTTTTAAAATGAAAATAAATTTAATAATTTAAATGTAATAGTTGTTTTACACATTTATGTTCTAATGGGACTTGACCTCACGTCCCTATAACTGGATCACCATCGTGGCCCTCGAGTTCACAAGCTAACTCTTGTCTCGCCATTTTACAGAAGGCTCGGGTGGAGGGGGTGCCTCGCGTCTCCAGGAGAGACTAACCGGTGCTGTGACCGCCGTTCTAATTCCTACAGAGCGATATTTATTCTTCCCACCTCCAGCAAATACTCCCACGGGCGCCTTTTCCCCAGACCAGAGCAGGACGCGGAGGCAGGGGTTCGAACCTGCACAGTGGGAGCGTGTCGCCCGGAGCAGGACTGAGGGAAGCGAGAGGCGGGGAGCCTGGAGCTCGGAGACCGGCGCGCCCTGAGGCCGCCAACGGCCGAGAAGGGGAGCGCGCGGACGGGCGCGAGCGCTCCTCGGGGGCGGGGCCCGCGGGTGGTGCGCATGCGCCGGAGGGAGGCGGCGTTCCGGACTGGGCTCAGGGCGAGACGGTGGCCGAGAGCGCACAGGGCGGCGGACGGTGGCCGACGAGGTCCGGCATGGAGCACGTAGAGCGCTGCGCGTGGTTCCTTAGGGGGACGCTGGTGCGAGCGGCCGTGCGGCGCTACCTGCCCTGGGCGCTGGTGGCCTCCATGCTGGCGGGCTCCCTTCTCAAGGAGCTCTCCCCGCTGCCCGAGAGCTACCTCAGCAACAAGCGCAACGTCCTCAACGTGTGAGTGCACCCTGGGTCCTCCTGCCCCCGCCATAGCCGCCCAGCTGTCGCCTCGTCCAGAGCTGGGGGCTAGCTGCTCTGATGGCCGGGTCAGTGGAAGGGGAAGTCCTCCCGATCGCGAGAGCATCTGCACGCGTGTCGCGGCCGAGGGACCCCGGCACAGCTAGTGTCACCAGCAGCTCGGCGTGCACACCCAGCCCGGGCAGCCCGGGCGGGTGACGAGCAGGGTGGTGTGTGGCCGTGTGTATGCAGGGGCGCAGGGCGGGGAGCGGGTGAACCAGCCGAGGTCGCTGCTCCCCCGCCTCCCCTTGCAGTCAGAAGTTGGCCCCTGCCCTGGGGAGATGCCCCCTCCCTGCTGCCTGCGGGTGTCAGTCCCCATGCCGCCACCCTGACCCCCGTGCCCCCAGCGTCTGACAGTTCCATCACCGCCGGTGAAAGACCCGCCCCCCCTCCGCTTTGAGAGCCCGGTCCCAGCCTAGGACGGAGCCCGCCCTGCAAGGTAACCGCGGAGGCGTGGAGCCCTCCAGGCTCTGCCCTTTCCCCTGGATCTCCTTGGACTTTCCCAGCCACTCAAAGTTCATGGCAGGGACCCAGGAAAGCCATCCAGCTGGGCTCTTTGAGATATCGCCTTCACCGCACCCACTCACTGCTTTTGCTTTCTTTATTTCTTTCTTTTTTAAACTCCTGGACTATTGCACAAAAACACTACTGCAGTAGGTAAACGCTGACATTTCTTCCTGGTGCTGTGGCCCTAGATTCTTTAGAATTACAGTGTCAGCAGCGTCTCTCCAAATCAACCCAACTTCAGTTATCGACTTAAAACCCCGGTCTCTGTCCCCAGCAGCCTTGTCAAAAGCCTGCCAGGTGTTGGCTCTGGCAAGATCTGTATCAGTCTCAGGGGAAACATTTGGGATAGGCCCTGGGTGGTGTCTTAGACACCTTTGGAACCCAGGACAGGGTTGTCCTGTCCTTGGCCACCTTCCTTCCTCACCCATGTGGAGGCTGGACTAAGACTAGGTGATGAGAGTGGCAGTCGCCCCAAGTCTCTTGCCGCTGGTCCCCACGTCAGCCACCTTTGACAGCACAGGGGAGGCAGATGAGGCAGCTGCTGCTTTATCTGGCCTGGGAGAGTGGGGAGCCAAGCAGCCTGGCAGACAAGGCCCTGTTGTTTGCCAGTAGCCATGGATCCTGGCGTTTTGTACCAAGCTTCTGTGCTAATTCATGGAAAGGAACCAGGGAATCATGGGCTCGGGAAGGGATTTAAAAAATCACTGGGTTCCCTCGGTGCTATTTGATAGCTGAGGAAACAGGCCTAGAGAAGTGTGGCAATAAGGTAAGTCAGAGTCAGGATTTGAGTCTGATCTTCTAGTGTGAAGTCAGGCTCTTTTCCGAGATCGTTTTCTGCCACACAGGAAGGAACCCTGGTGTAGAAAAAGCATGGGCTTTGGGACTGGCCAAACCTTGGTTTCATCTGTGCTTGTGGGTTGTGTGAGTATGACCCTGGGCCAGTTTTTCAACTTTTCTGAGTCTCAGATTCTTTATCTCTAAAATGGGGAAAATGATACCTTCCTCCCAGGGAGTGTGAGTGTTCAATGGGAAAGTGAAGGTAGGTGAAAGCTCTTGGCCTATGGCAGATGCTCAGTTATTATTACTTTCCTGAACAAATAGCAGAGTGCTTAAGATCACAGACCCTGGATTTGAATCCCAGCTCCACGACTTGTGATCTCCACTTTAGGCATGATACCTCTCTGGGCCTCAGTTTTCTTGTCTGTAAATGGGAATAATAACAGTCCCTACCAGATGCAGTTGTTAAGGACTAAGTAGTTAATACATTTAACGTATTTAGTAAGTTGTCATCTGTAGCTTTTATCAACTTTTCTCGTTTTCCCTCGAGAGTCTAGAGACCTGGGTTGTGACATTGTTTCCTCTCTGCCATGTGCCCTCTCTTCACTTCTACTCTCCTCCTCTGCCAGGTATTTTGTCAAAGCGGCCTGGGGCTGGACCTTCTGTCTCCTCCTGCCTTTCATTGCCCTCACCAACTATCACCTGACAGGCAAGGCTGGCCTGGTCCTGCGGCGGTTGAGCACCCTGCTTGTGGGCACGGCCATCTGGTACGTCTGCACTGTCATCTTCTCCAGTGTTGAACACTACACGGGCAGCTGCTACCAGTCACCAGCCATGGAGGGGCTCAGAAAGGAGCCCCAGAATAAGCAGCAGTGCCACCAGGAAGGGGGCTTTTGGCACGGCTTTGACATCTCGGGCCACTCCTTCCTGCTGACCTTCTGTGCCCTCATGATTGTGGAGGAGATGGCTGTGCTGCATGAGGTGAAGACGGACCGAAGCCACAGCCTCCACACCGCCATCACCGCCCTGGTCGTCGCCCTGGGCTTCCTGACCCTCATTTGGGTGTGGATGTTTCTGTGCACTGCCGTTTATTTCCACAACCTGTCCCAGAAAGTATTTGGCACCCTGTTCGGTTTGCTGGGCTGGTACGGGACATATGGGTTTTGGTATCTGAAATCTTTTTCCCCAGGACTTCCTCCCCAGACCTCTCGTTTGAATTTGAAGCAAGACAGTTATAAGAAATAAAAGAGAAACAAAAGGAGTGACAGCAGGACAATGGGTAATATATTTTTCATTTATTTTTCTTAATTATTTGGCTAAATTATTGATCCTACATCAGAGAGGAAGCTTACCAGGCAGTTTTGGTGGGTGATGGTGGAGTCTGGGAAGTGAGTTCACTCTCCAGACTGTTCTTGGCGACATCACCGTGTGTCACAAGCGCCACCATTTCCAGTTAGGCACTTTTTGTCCCTGGCAAGACTTGACCTTAATCTGGACTGTCCCTTTTGTCCCTAGAGGGCACTTAGGCTCAGTGAGAGTGCAGAATCAGGAAAGCCTCCTTTGTGTGGCCGAAGGGGAGGCCAGGGCCTCAGGACTCCTCTGCTGCCATTGTTCTCTCCCTGTTTCTAGTTTCCTTTTGTTTTAGTGGCTGTTGATGCTGTTATTTAACAATATTTCCCTCGGGTCAAAGTAACCAACTGTTGCCTGAAAGACAATGGTTTTAGTAATTGTTTCATCTGTGGAATGTTAAATATTACAACTGGCTTGTGATTAGCTATCAAAACACTTAAACTGGAGTGCCTCTCCAAGTGAATATTGGATGATTTTCATGTAATGAACAGAGAGAATTTTCCGTCATGTTGTCTACTATATATATTGATGTTTGAAGCAATAAGGTTAACTTTTCTTTCTTATATTTTGAGTGAATGCTTTATAGTTTTTAATAACAACTCTGCATTTGTTCTTTGTTGACAAAACTCCTGAAAATAACTCAAACTCCACTGCTGCACTTTGGCAGACGTGTGTAGATTGCTTTGAGGGTTGTTGTTTTTTTTTTAGAACACTAACTTTTTATAAACCAAACTCTTGGCTTTATGGTATTAAATTCTACCTTGTGAGGCTCTTTTCTCTGTTAAGAATAAAACCAGGAAGTAGACATTTTAATAACAACTTGATCAATTTTAAGCCAAGTCAGAGTAATTTTACAAAATGTGTAATTGCACTGAAACTTTCCTGACCACATGTCATTGGTATAGACTGACCTATGCTTCAGAGTCATATGTATGTTGATCATTTGCTGTGGCCTAAGGCATTTTTACCTTTTGGATATGATTATGATAAGTCAGAAGCGAAGGGGAATGTCTTCCATTGCCTTTGATGGCAACAAACTAAGCTGTTTGCACAGATGTTCTTATTAAATGGTGGCATGACTTTGGTTCCACCCTCCTCTTATCTGTACCACCATCAAAGGCAAACTAAACCTGGGCCTATTCTATTGGTCTTGAAGCCCCCTTTTATGTCCCCTTTGCAGCCCTTCTCAATTTCCCGCCTTGTGATTCTGTGGTCTTGATTGTGAGAATGCTGGGAAGGATTAGAAATCCTGTCACCTCCACCTCACAAAGGCACAGTTATATGCTCTGTGATAAGACACCCCCTTCCCCTCCCCCAGGCTGTCTCCTTAAGCCTTTCAAACTGAACCCCTTGCATATTGGATAATCATCTTTGAAGCTTCTTTGATGCCCCCATTACCCCCCAGTTAATAGCATATAGATAAGCACTGCACTCACTGGCTTAACTCAAGTTCAGGTCATTAGAAGCTTGAGCTCTGGAAAACCTTCAGGATACATTGTATTTCACATAATGATTTATTTAAAATATGAAGTTCGTATCCCCTTTGTATCCAGTTGAGCTGCAAGTTACCTTGTATCAATCAAAATGTGAGGTGGCCCAGGGCTGGTGTGGCTCAGTGGTTGAGTATCAACCTATGTACCAGGAGGTCAGGGTTTGATTCCCCATCAGGGCACATGCCCAAGTTTCAGGCTTGATCCTCGGTGTGGGATGTGCAAGAGGCAGCCAGTTGATGATTCTCACCATTGATGTTTCTACCTCTCCCTCTCCTTTCCTCTTTGAAACCAATTTAAAAAAAAAAAGATGATTATTAAAAAAAAAAGTGAGGTGTGTTACCTTGTACCCGAAGAAGGTAACAGAAACACTGGCAATGAAATTCTGGAGGTGTCACCCTGGTGATTTGGGGACATTGATAAAGGGCAGTGGCCCCAGGAGATTAGTTTTGCTCTGTGGAGTGGGAGTGGGGTGGAAGTGGGGATGGGGTAGGTAGCAGGAGCTTGTGGAAGGGGTTGAAATCTCTCCAAAGTTTCATGTTCAGCACCAAAAGGCAACAGGCACAAGGTGACTCCAGAAGTTCATTTGTCACACTTAAATCTCTAGACATTTTTCTCGTCTGGGTCTGAGTCCAGCTCAGCATTCAATAACTCTGCAGAAAGTATCCATTACTGAGCCTTGCACATTGATTAGTCTTCCACTGCTTCCTGTTCATTCTTAGCACCCTTGCCTTCTTCTTGGGAGCATGCCCTCTGTCCCTATGTGAGACAGTTTGGTGCAGCTGAGTTTGGGCTTAGGCACACGAGATGTGGGTTCAACTCTTGATACCACTGCTGAGAGCCATCTGACCATGGGCAAGCCTCATTTTCCTGGTGTAATACAGAGGTGATGCTGTTAGGATTCAGGGAAATGATGTGTGTAAAATGCCCAGCACATGTATAGCCCCCTACCCCTTTTTCTTGATTAAGTCCTTTAAAATTTTTTGGCTCCTCCAGAGAAGGCAGGGAAACTAACATCTTTTGAGTGCCATTTGGGGGGTCTGTGTCTCCTGTTGAAATAGGCTTGTATTGTCTTTTGAAAAGTGTGTTGTCCCCAGGCGCTGAACAAGAGGCTTTTGAGGGCATCTGTGATCCCAGAGTACTGCCATGCTTGTTTTGCCTTTCCACATGGAGGTTCATTCACCGACGCCTCGTTTTCCACATGCATCTGTCATAGTCTGAGTACCAGATTGTATTTAGAGAATGGCTCTTGCCACTGTTATATACACACAGATCGTATGTGTAAACAAGCAAATTAAGTAAACTGGAGATAATGAAATACCACATTCCAGCTTCTGCGTGTTCTTTTCCAATACCTTTAAGGAAGTCTGCAACCAGTAAAGCTCAGCCCACTTTATGAAAGTAGCATTAATTCTTTGTTGAGCTACTCATTGTACATAGAGTATTTCATGGCTGTAGTTAATTTTATTTTTTTCTCCTAAGTCCTGTAAACTAAATATGTGTTCAGTCATATGTTTAGCTTGATTTACTCCTTCCCTCCACCATCTCCGTGTCTTGAAGTCCTGGCCTCTGGATCATCCAGATGTGGGAGCAGTTTTCTTGGCAGGAGAAGAGGTAAGCCTCATGGAAATAACACCAAAGAGCATTTACAAAGTTCACTCAAATGAGGTCATCTTTGAAAGTGCCTCAGAGCCCTGGAGACCTAGATGCGGGTGAAGGCTATTAGTGCCTTTTAGTGCCCACTCATTGGCCAGCCTGACCTACTTGGGCAACCCCAGGTAGTGTCTGTCGAAAGCTCAATGGCTCCAGGATTAGAATCTCCTCACACAGCAACTTTCCTGTTCACATTCTTTCAGCAGCAATGAACCCTTCTTGAGTTCATACCGTGAGCCAGGAGCTGGGAAGGATGATAGATTCCCTCCCTCTTGGACTTTGTGGTCCGAAGTCAGTCCCTTTGGAGCCTAAGGTGTGTGCTGGGGTTGCAAAGGTAAATTAGATACACCCATTCCTTCAAGGAATTTTCACCATAAAGTGTCTGAGTGCTGGTTAAGGTCAGGGCATGGGAACATAAAGCAATGGACAACCAGCTGCACTGAGAAATGAGGGAATGTTTTCACAGAACCTAACAATTCTTTAGGGTCTTGAAGGATAAGGAGGAATTCAAGCAGTTAGGGCTTCCAAGGAAGTAAGAACAGCATGCCCAAGGACACAGCTATGCTGCCATAATTTTTACTCAGATGTCCCTTCTCAAGAAACCTAACTCTCCCATCATTTTCAAAAGCAACGGAGATGGAAGAAAGGCAGACTGACAGGACTGTTTGAGCCGGGTCCCACCACTGCTTTTTCGTATTTTCTGTGTGACCTTGAATCAATGACTCAGCATCTCTGGGTCTCCATTTCCGTAGCTGATAAATGATGGTAGTGGACTGAATAACCTCACCAACTCTCCTACTCTATTCTGTTTCTCTGTGCTGTTTGATGACAAGTTCTTCCAAGCTGGTTATGACTTTTATTTTAGGAAACAACGTGAAAAGAAACTCCCACTCAGAGCTGAGGTGGCAGCTGGTTTCCTGGGTGAGTGACGGAGGAGCGGCCCTCTAGATGCACTTATCACAGCCCCCCCTTTTCTCTGCGTTGGCAGCCTGTTGTCGTTCAGACCTTTGCATGGGTTCATACGGGGTTTCTGGACATGGGAAGCTGAACCTAGTTCCCAGAGGGGTGACCTACAGAAGTCTTTTTAAAAAGTCTCCAAAATCAAACCATTTTTCATAGCTATTAAGGAGAAGGTAGTTTCTGTTAAGAGAAACCCTGTGCAGTATAGTCATCTTCAGAAATTGTCCCCTCTAGCAAGTTTTAAAGTTGAACACACAGCACAGAAAACAGGTACTCTCATAACTTGGGGTGTGGTGGTAAATTGGTACAACCTGTTTAAATGATAACCTAGTAGTATTCAAACTTGAACTGTGTAGACCCAACAATCTCAGTCTAGGATTTGGGCTATGGAAATGCTTGTAGAAGTGGACAAAGATAAGTACAAAGTTCTTATGCAGCTCTGTTACAGTGAAAAATTGTCAGCTCAAATGCCAATCAGTTAAATAAATTATGGCAACTCTGTATTAGCAATATAATGCAGTCACCACAAAGAATAAATGTTATATTTAGTGTGGAATCTGGTGGCAGGAAGACTTGGTTTTGTGCTGACTGTAACTTACAGCTGTGTGCCCTCAAACAGGTTAGTCTCTGAGCCTCTGTAAATGGGGATGATAGTGCCTCACCTCTTTCAACATTCACTGCCCCAGTAATTGAGGAGCTTCAAGTAAACCAGGCACTGTGCTAGGCACCGCATGCATTTGAAGAGACATGGTGCTTTCAGGGGGTTTACACTCTAGTTGGGCACAGACAATAAAATGAGCAACTCCAAACAGGGTGCTGGGCTCAGAAGCAGAGTGCCCCCCAAACTGCCCTAACATTGTCACAGCTCAGGCAGAGATGATTTACACAAAGCTCTTAGACAAGCGAAGGAGTCGGGGAGGTTGGCATGGACTCAAGCCAGACTGCCTGGGTTCTAATTCTGGCTCTGCCATACACACTGGCTGTGTCACCTTCAACAGTTCCTTAACATCTAGGCCTTGGTTTCCTCATCTGTAAAATGGGGTAATATAAGTACCTACCTCATATAGCTGTTGTGAGGACTAATTGAATTGATACTTGTAAAGTCTTAGAATAGGACCTAGTATATATGTGGTGCTATATAAATGTCTTTCAAGTGCACAGTAAGTCCCTAATGTGCCCTCATTACTGTAACCACTTTAAATCAGGACAGAGAAACCCCATTCCTGTAGGTGTTTCCATTTTGATCCACTCAGAGGTAGTTAAAATGTAGTCAATGAATGGGGAAGGCCATGTCCCAGTGATCTAGCATGGGAACGGAGTCTCTAAGGCAGCATTCTAGTTTCCAGATTAACTAGAGGGTGAGGGAGAGCAAGAGACAAGTTTTCCAGGAGAGCTAAAAGGAAAGGATAGTCGTGTATCCATGGGGTCCTTTTGGCCAAAGTAGAGCATTCCCCTTTTTTACCCTCCGTTTGAGGTGCTGTCCATTCCCAGGCAACCCAAGGGCTGCCTGGTCTTGGTTTCCAGGCTGCATATTTTGGGGAGACTGACTGGAAGCCTTATCATGGAGCCTTGTTACTTCCCTTGTCTTCTCTGCTTTGGCTGCCTGGGGAATGTGTGTCTGAGTGCTCAGGAGGTAAGTAGGTAGGGGTGCCTGGGAGCCACCCTGATTAGCATCTTAATTACTGGAGCAAAGTTATTCAGGCCTTGCCCTACCACGCTGCTGTGGCCCATTTCCCAACCACTCCTTTCATCCCTTCTTGCCTCTGCTTGCATTGACTGAGCATGCTGTTTGCCAGGTATCCCTGTGCAGCTGGGGACTGAGGCCGGGGTGAGTGGGTGGGGTATAAACGGACTCTCATCTGGAGTTTTAGAGGCATTGGACTTGAACAAGTAGATTGCATCCAAATCCTGCCTACCAACTCCTCAGCTGTGTGATCTTAGGCAAGTAACCTAGCTTCTCCGGGCTTGTTTATTGTCTTCACTAGCTGAGCATAGAGTAGAGACCCCCAAAAGCTAGTAACCTTTGAAGCCCTAGCAAAGGTCAGGGCTGTGCACCACCCAGTTAATCTAGATACCACCCAGTTAATCTAGATAATGGTAGCTGAAGCATCATCCCCACCTTAGTTCACTTAATTCCTTAGATACTTATGTAAATCCTTGTTGATTATTGCTGATTAGATATTCTGCCTACTTCTGGAAATTGTCTGCTGATGAACTAATCTGTGTGTCATTGAAATCTCATTACCTAAGGGCTACTCCATATCAATAAAAGGTTGGAACGGCCTGAGCATCAGTGGAAGTCCTTCTGGACTTGCCCACCTGGTCCCCCAACATTTCCAAATTGTCTCTTGTCTCTTTTCTCTCTCATTTGTGTGCGGCTCCTCTTTTCAGATCCCAAACCCTAGTCCACGCGGGACGTGGAAGGAAACACACAAAACAGCTTCTCCGGGCTTGTTACTCATCTGTGAAAGGGGGATAATTCTTTCTACCTCACTAGTCTTTGACTGGCTTAATGAAATCATAGATGGGAAAATATATTTTTTTCAATCTTTAATTTCTTTATTGATTAAGGTATTACATATGTGACCTTATCCCCTCATAAACCACCTCCCCCCCGGGAAAATATTTTATAAGCTTTAAAATATCGGGCATCTATGAGGGCTGCTTATTATTGAGGAGATTTATCTTTACCTAATGAATGTCTCTCTCAGAAGCCTGGGCACTGTAACTCCATCAGGTGGTACAATTTTTTCGGATGTGGTTTCTATATAAAAGCAAATCAGCATCATCTCTGACACTTTGCATTCAGCTCTTGGTCTGGAAAATGTTATCCTATCGGTGGGGGCCACCAAAAGCCCTTAGCTCTACTCGGCAGGGCAGCAGTAAGCAGCATATCTTCACTTTCTTACAGTACATGTCAGCTTTTCTGTTCTCTGTCATTATCTAGTCCAGCAGTCGCCAAATGGTGGTCCGCGGATCACTGGCGGTCCGTGAGGTCTGAAAGGTTGGCAACCACTGGTTTAAGGAAACCTTTGGAGCAGCAGTCGCCAACCGGTGGTCCATGGACCACTGGCGGTCCATGAAGTCTGGAAGATTGGCGACTGCTGATCTAGTCTGTAGAGACCTGGATTATCCTGATGTCCCCCTAAGAAAACACTGATCCACCACATTGACGACATCATGCTGTACCCGGTGAGCAGGAGAGAGCAGGTACACCAGATGCTTTAGGAAGACCCAGGCATGTCAGAGGGTGGTATATGAACCCCATGGACATTCAGAAGCCTGGCACCTTGGTGAAGTTTCTACGGACCTAGAGGTTAGGAAACGCCAGGTTATCCCTTCCAAATAAAAGGCAAGTTGCTGGTCCCTAAGAAAAAAGCACAACTGGTAGCCCTCTTTGGATTTGGGAGGGAATGTACATGCAATTGTGTGCTGCTCCAACCCATTCACTGAGTAACCCATACATAGGACAGCCAATTTTGAATGGGTCCCAAAGCAGATTTAGGCCGCAGTGCAAGATGATCTGCCAATTGAGCCACACGACCCAGTCGATCCAATGGTGTTTAAGTTGTCTGTGATATTTAAAATGTACATTTCCTTTTAGCCCCCAGCAAGCCCTAATAGGAAAATCTCTGCCCATCCCTAGAACTTGGAACAAAGTCATGTCTTCTTCTACAAATAATTATTCCTTTAAAATATAGTGTCTGGCTTGCTACTGGGCTGTGGTAGAGTCCTAATACCTGATCATGAGACACCAAGTGACTATGCAATCTGAACTGCCCATCATGGACTGGGTGTCATCTGATCCATCAAGCTATAAAGCTAGACATGTACTGCAACATTCTATCAAGTGAGACTGTCACCTATTCCTACCACATTGCCACCTCTTCCTCAGTCAATACCTAAGGCCCCATAACAAATACCCTGTGATCAATTGATGGAGGAAGAAAAAGCTCAGGCCTGGAACCAATTGGAAGTGGATGGTTGCAGCACTATAAGAAGGCCTGAAAGATATTGGAGAAGGGAAATCCTTTCAGTGAACAGAACTTCAAGCAATACAGTCGGCCCTCCATATCTGCAGGTTTTACACCTGCAGATTCAACCAACTAGGGATCAAAATATTTGGGGGGAATGTTACTTAAAAAAATTTGATTTTAGAGAGGGAGAGGGAGAGAGAGAATCATTGACTTGTTCCACTTATTTATGCATTTATTGGTTGCTTTTTGTATGTGCCCTGACTGGAGATCGAACCTGCAACCTTGGTATATCAGGACAATGCTCTAACCAACTGAGCTACTTGGCCAGGGCACACTGTTGTTGATATGTATTGTGTAGTTAGGCCTACGATGGCTGCATCTGTACTGAACACGTACAGACTTTTTTTCTTTTCATTATTCTCTAAACAATACAGTACAACAACTATTCATGTAGCATTTACATTGTATTAGGTGTTATAAGTAATCTAGAGATGATTTAAAGCAGACAAGAGGAAGAGTGTAGGTTATATGCAAATACTATGCCATTTTATATAATTACGAGCATGCATGGATTTTGTTATCCGTGGGGGGTCCTGAAACCAATCCCCCACAAATAATGAGGGACAACTCTACATATGGTTGTCTATCTAGATAGAGATAGAAGTTCAGAAATATGGATCTACACATATTCATGGGATGGATGGTTCGACTGTATGATCAGGATTGGAGGATTGGTAATAAGGAAGTCTGTGAGAGAAGGTATGTAGATGGATCTTTAACAGTGGATACAGAAGAAGAGGATAATTGTATTTTATGCAAATATTCCCCCTAAGAAACCCACTTCAGAGGAGACTCTCAATAAATAGGTGAACCAGATGACTTGTTCTGTAGATGTCAGTATTTCCTTTCCCCACTAACCCCCCTGTCCCATCACTTGTGGGGTGCCTCACATGGGACAGGTTTTGCTCAACAGGCTCACATATGAAATGGCCAGTAATTAAGCTAGAGGTTATAAGTGGACACAATAACATGGACTTCTCTTATCAAGACTGATTTAGCTAAAACCACCGTTGAGGGCCCACCTTGCATGAATTCCTGATATGGCACCATTCCCCACCTAGTGGCAGGTTGATTACATTGACCTCTTCCATCACGCAGGGAGCAGCAATTTGTATATTCTGTATATGGGTTTGCCTTCTTTGACCACATGCACAGACACCTTGGTTCCAGTCTTGATATTCCATACAATACTGCTTCTGACCAAAGAGGTGACATTACAGCAAAATAAATGTAGCCATGTGATTATACCTATGGAATTTTCTGGTCTTATCTAGAAGCAACAGACTTATAGAAAATTGAGATGGCCTAATAAAGACTCCCTTATAGGGACAGCTGGGAGACACTGCAATGTTGGGATGCTGTCTACAGGACACAGCATATACTTTGTACCAACCATAATGCTATTTCTCCACATGCAGGAAACATGAATCCAGCAATGCTGAGGTGGAAATACTTTCACTATTGCACAAAATAACCCATTCACAAAAATGTTGCTTTCCACCCCTGAAACTCTGGACTTTGATGGCTAGATATTATAGTTCTCAAGGAAGGAATGCTTCTATTAAGGAAAACATTGATTGCCACTCAGTCATTTTGAGCTCCTCGTACCATTGCAACTATAAGCAAAGAAGTAGGTTACTCTACTGGCTAGCATGATTGGTCTGATCACCAAGAGTAAATTGGATTGCTGCTACAGTGGTGGCATGGAAGACTATATGGGAACTAGAAGATTCTCTGGGTGCCCCGTTATACTTCCACATCCAACAGCAAAAGATTAATAGAAGACTACAACAGCCCAAGTCTGAATCATTTCACCAGTAAAATACCCTAAACATGAGGTCCAGGCTGGGGCAAACAAAAAAACCCAAAACATAGAATAGCTAGTGGAAAAAAAGAGAAATTATAAATATCAACAATGGCCTTGGGATCAGTTACAGAAATGAGGGCTGAAGCAACTATGAGTGTTTTCTTTCCTGCTTGTCATATACGTATATATATTTCATATAAGGATTACTGGTGATGGTTAAATTGATGTTTTAATCTATATATTACAGTATATTGAGGTGTGCCTGTGATCTCTGGGACTAGAGGTGGACCAAAAAGAGACTCTGACATCATCCAGAGTGATGTTACTGACTGGTGGGGCTTTGTGGGTCTCATTTTTAGAGAGAAGTTATACCCTCATTTCAGGAGAGCATTGGTCCTGTTAGAATTAAGCATGATGTTATTGTCTTTGAGTGGAGTTTAATTATGAGTGGGAGGGTCTGCGTGGATGTTTAAGTAGCCAAGGGGTGGACAGTGTTAGATAATGCCTCAAGTATCTAAATGTTGGCCCTGGCTATTTTTTTCTTTTCATCTTGATGGAAAAAAATTCTTATACATTTTAATAAAATAAATAAAACTATGCCTTATGTTCCACAAATTATACCTCTGGTTTAAGGATCTTGGGGCATTTGAACACATTTTTCTCTGGGTAATTGTGAGGACATGTGCCTTGGGAGCCCCCTGACAGTCCATGTACATAAGCAAGTGTCTGTGAGCATGCTCTGTAAACTGTGAAGCACTGTCCAAGTGAGGTGGGTTTATGTCAAGAGCAGAACTTTGCAAAGTCTATCCAGGAGCCATCCCTACACTCATCAACTTGAAACCTGAACTCACGGATGCTGAATCTTGTGTCTCCACCCCTCTGATCCCAGCCTTTGGAAATGAGAGCTAGATGGACAACACAGGTTTACAAATGAAAAGCAACTGCTTCTCCTGGATGCTTTATTGGGGGCTTTCAGTGGTTTCTAAGCATGAATGGCAGTGACACTCAGACCTTCTCCCAACATGCAAAAGGCACAGGAAAGTGAGACGACCAGGTGGGCAGCATAGGTGAGGAGATCCCCCTGTGTGGCATGGTGGGGCATGCGAGGCACCCCACAAGTGATGGGACAGGTGGGAATTAAAGGAGATGGCTTTGGCAGAGGCTAGGAGAGGGACTTGAGGTTCATCTACCTCCAGACCCACCCCTGCACTCGGGCCGGACTGACCTTCTAAGACTGTGAACTTGGCTTTTGCTGAAAGTCCACCTCACATGATGGGAAAAATCAGCTCCAGGTGGGAAGAGGATGATGGATGCTGCCTTCAGGGATTACTGGTAGAGTGCCAAACCAAACTCACTGGCCACAGCAGGAGGGGAATGAGGGTGTGCTCATGGTGTCCGTCCTAGTCCTGGTTTGGTGGTTGGGTGCCACTGCCTTGGCTTGAGCCACTGCTGTCTCAGTCCATGTCCAGGAGAAGAATGAAGTCCCTTCCGATCTTCACGGGCCTCCCATGGAGTCTCCGGGTCTCTAGCCCCACCCAGAGGTACCACTTAGAAGAGTTGAGTCTTGATGTTGGCTTTGTCCTGTGGAAAGTTCCCTGGGCAAGAGGGAAGGGGAGGCGAGGGGTCAGGCCCTCTGAGCCCCCAGCACCTCCCAGAATCTGGGCCCTGATGGGTGAAATGGCCTGGGACTCACCTCAGATCCTAACCAGTCCCCACAGTTCCATCTTGAGACCTTGAATCAAAAGAAAAGGCATTCGTGCTTTGTTTCTGTTCTCTCTCTCACTCTTTCTCTCCTTCAGTAGAGCCGTGGCTTCAACTCACGGCATTGGCAACGTCTACTTCTAAACTATGGAATGTTTTCACACTGACAATAGAATTACTCCGAACAAGGGGTGGGGAAGGGGCTGTTCAAGTGTTCATGAGACAGTGCATTACTGAGAGCTCATTGGGAATCACACAGCACAGAGACACTGACAGTCAGACACCAAGCCCAGGCCTGGCTCAGCTCTAGATGTATTTTTTCTTGAGGTACCAGTAGGCAAAATAGCCCATCCCGCCCAGGGAGCCCATGAGGAAGGAGGCCCCAAAGAAAGATGGCGGTTTCCGCTTGACCAGCCGGAATGCATTGGGGATGACGGCCGATAGCAAGGTGGTATGAATGTCGCCGAGAACTTTCCGGAAGGCAAAGCGCTTCTGGACCCTCTCAAAAAAGGACTGCAGGTTGGGCCGGCTGCCGTCCTCCCAGTATTTCTTGGACAGTCCCAGGAACTTGAGGCGGTGCAGGGTGGCTCCCAGAAGGACGTCGGCGAGAGTGAAGGCACAGCCGCAGAGCCACAGCTCACATTTCTGTCCTAGAGTGGAAGAGAGAGGAGGTGGGGGCAGGAGGGATCAGCTTTTCAACCCCATGCACTCGCTCCTCTCTCCTTGACTCCTTTGATGTTTGTCCGCCTGCCATGGTGTTTCCCCAGGGTCATTCACTCCTACACAACTTTAATGATTTTGCCGCATCCTTTTACTATCCCTATCAATTTTTTCTTTAAATCAACTGAATTTTTAAGTGCAAGCACTGAACTCTGTGGCTTCAAGATTTAGATACTGCCCTGACCGGTTTGGCTCAGTGGATAGAGCGTCGGCCTGCGGACTGAAAGGTCCCAGGTTCGATTCCGGCCAAGGGCATGTACCTTGGTTGCGGGCACATCCCCAGTAGGAGGTGTGCAAGAGGCAGCTGATCGATGTTTCTCTCTCATCGATGTTTCTAACTCTCTATCCCTTGCTCTTCCTCTCTGTGAATAATCAATAAAATATATTTAAAAAAAAAAGATTTAGATACTGGGAAACAGGAGAAACCATTGAAGAAGCATGAGAAGGAGTGGCCTGGGAGGTGCGAGAGGCCCACTAGTGTGTAGTGTCGTGGAAGCCAAGATAAGAAAGTGTTCCAAGGAGAAGGGAATACTCAGCTGTGTTCAGATGCTGTGGAGAGGTCAAGTAAGAGGAGGCCTGAGAATGGAGATTATATTTGGCAGCTGGTGACCTTGACAAGAGCAGCTGGAGTAGATGCTGACAGTGAAAGCCTGGTTGGAAGGAGTTCAAGTGAGAAAGGGAGGAGAAGAATTGGAGACGGTAAGCAAAGTCACTCATTCAAGGAATTTTGCTGTAATGGAGAGGATACACTAATAATCTGACACAGGTCAAGAGTGTTTTTGTAAGTTGGGAGGAAAATCTAGCATGTGGATCTACTCTCCTCCCTTCTCCTTGCTGCTTCGTGCCCCTGAAGAATGACTCTGGTTCCAGGGGGTTCCGCCAATGGGGAGCAGTGGCAGGAGGGAGGACGGTGGTGAGAGTGAGGTCAGAGTCTTACATCCCTCGGTTTCCTCTCTGCAGGTCACTGTCGACTGGCTGCGTCCCTAGAATGAAAGCTACAGCTTCTGTCAGGTGGCCCTCGCTATGCAGTCTGTCTGTCCAGTTCCTGACACTGCTCCCACCTCTCACGACCTCAGGCCCAGGATACCACGCTTTTCCTTGTGGTTTCCCTAAATCCTGCCCACATATTTATAAACAGACCCTATAATAAGCCTCCTCAATGACCAATTTGGGGTCACCCTGTGTCCTATGGGGTCCTGCCTGGACCACACCTCTTCTGTCCTTTCATGGACTTTGCATCGTTGGTCCTGCATCCTTCTCCTTTCACTGGGTCATTTCTGCCATCCTGAAAACACACCTTGTATCTACTATAAAAGAAAAAATTGCTCCCTTTGCCCCGAACACTTCTTCAGCCCCCACCCCATTTCTCTATTCCCTTCTACAGATAAACTTCTCAAAAGAGTTGTCTCCACTTGGCCACACTTCCTCCCACTCACTCTTCAGTCTTTTGTCCCGAGTTCAGTGAAACTGCTCTTGGTAGGGTCACCACCAAAGCCATGGAACCAAATCCAGGGGCACTTTGCTATCCTTGGTTTACTCTGCCTCTCAGACCCTTTATGAGAGCCTATGACACAGGCTCCTCCTACCTCACTGGCCACTCCATGTCAGTCGATTTTGCCTGTTCCTCTGCCCCTACGCCTCTCTGAATGTGAGGGAACCTCAGGGCAGGCATGGAGTTTTAAAATGTGTCCACAGATTGATTGTCCTCCCCAGGACTACGGGCTGCATTTCATGACTTGTACTAAGGAATGGAATGTGGCAGAAGTGACAGTGACTCCCAATGGTAGGCCATGAAGGAACTGTGGCTTCTGCTGCTTCTCCCTCCCACAGATCACTTGTTCAGGAGAAAGCCAGCTGCCATGTTGCAAAGAAACTCAAGCAGCCCTATCGAGATGCCCACGTGGTGAGGAGCTGAGGTCTCCTGCCAATAGCCAGTGGGGAACTGAGACATCTAGTTAGGAACCCTAAGAACGAGCCATCTTAGAAGCCAATCCTCCAGCTCAAATGACCAGAGCCCCAACCAACAGCTTGACTACAGCCTGCATTATACAACCTTAATTAGACCACCCAGCTAAGCTGCTCTAAATTCCTGACCCGTGTGTGATATAAGAAGTGCTTTCTGTTTAAGCTACTGAGTCCAGGAGCAATTTGTTATGCAGTAGTAGATAACTAATACAGCAGTTCTTGATCCCCCTCTTTGTCTCCACTCTCTCCTAAATGAAATCATTCAATTCTGTGGCTTTAAGCACCACATATATGCTAAAGACTTATAAATCTTTATCTCTAAATTCTGACTTCTCCTTTTAAAGTGATACTAGAATATCCAATGGCTTATGTGATACCCCCTTGGGTGTCTAAAAGGCATCTCAAACTTACTGTGTCTCAAAGTGAACACTTGGTCCCCCTTGTCCATATCAGGACTCAGTAGCTGGCTCCATCTATGGGTCTTAACTATGACATTACAATACCTCTTCCCCACACAGAGAGAAGTGGAGGTTTGGAGGTGCCCTGGTAGGTGACTGAGCACCAGAGACCATGTGGGCCCAGCCAGTCTGACCGTTAAAACTGATAGCCACCCCCCTGGGCCTCTGCTACCTCCCTCAGCCTGGAGGGACACAAGGACTGCCCACACCTCTCCATCTCAAACAATCCCATTCATCTGGCTATCGGACAGTGCAATGCTGCCTGCTCTTGGAAGACCTCAGGACAAAAACAGAAAGTGAGGGCAGGAGGCTCACAGGCTAGGACCACCTGAGGAATGTGTCTGCAGCTATTCTCCAGGACCGTCAACTCTGGCCTCCATCTAGGTCACACTCCATGTCTCCCTTGATCATAACAGCAGCTAATATTTGCAGACACTTTTAATGCCATGTGCCAGGCAATGTGCTGAGCCCCTTACATGCATTTTCTCACTGATTCTCACAACACCCCTGTGAAGTAGGTGCTCATTTAACACCCTTTTACAGAACAGAAGAGGAGCCAGAACTAGTGCTTAAGAATGACTCAAGGAGCCAGTGTTTGAATCCAGCCTCCACCACTTCTATCTGTGTAACCTTGGGAGATTATTGAACCTCTCTGTGCCTTAATTTTTTCATCTGTTAAATGGGGTTACTCATATTACATACCTTCTAGAGTTATTATGGGATTAAATAAGTTGAAATATGTGAAACACTTAAAACAGTGCCTGGCACACAGTAAGTGTTGTTAAATACATAAATCATTATGGGCTGAATTGTGTCCCTCCAGAATTCATATATTGAAGTTTTAACCCCCCAGGATCTCGGACAGTGACTGTATTTGGAGAAAGAGTCTTTAAAGCAGTAAGTTTGCCCTGGCTGGGTAGCTCAGTTGGTTAGAGCGTCATCCCGATATGCCAAGGTTGTGAGTTCAATCCCGGGTTAGGGCACATACAAGTATCAACCAATGAATGCATAAGTAAGTGGAACAACAAATTGAGATTTCTCCCTTTCTTTCTCTCTCTCCCTCTTCCTCTCTCTCCCTAAAATCAATAAATAAAAATAAAATAAAGAAGTTAAAATGAGGCTGTTAGGGTGGGTCCTAGTCCAATCTGGCTGGGGTCCTCATAAGAGGAGGACATTTTGCTGTGCAGACACCAGGGGCACGTCCACAGAGGAAAGACCATGTGAAGACACAGCAAGATGCAGCCATCTGTAAGCCCAGGAGAGAGGCCTCAAAAGAAACCGAACCCCAGAAGAAACCAACACCTTGATCTTAGACTTCTAGCTCCAGGTTCGTGAGAAAATAAGTAGGTCTGTTGTTTAAGCCATGCAGTCTGTGGTATTTTGTGATGGCAGCCCTAGCAAATTAACGGATAAATATATGAAATACACCTGAGAATTAAGGTCACCCAGTGAGAATGGCAGAGCTGGGGCTTTGCCCCTAAGCACTCTTCTGTCCTGGCTCCCTCAGCACCCTCTCTGACAGAACTGAAAAACTTCCTCCTGGAGGGATGTATTATTTCCCTCTCTTAGCCATACCATACTTTTTTCTAGAGGGGATTTAAGGCAGCTGGCTTCATTACACATGACAATGTCCCTGTTGAGGACTTTAGGGACCTGTGTGTGCTTTGTGCTCAAGGCCTCAGTTGTGAGATGCTGGAAGAACACTGGACCCATTAAGAGGGAACCTGTGCTTGCCCTAACTATGCTGTTTAAAAGCTATGTGCAAGTCACCCTGAACAAGTCACTTCACTTCTCTGAGCGTTAGTTTTCTCATCTGGAGACTGTACACATCTTTAGCTGTCATATGTTCTTAAACTACTATGCTCCCGGCACTTTACTGTGTGCTTTTACTTTTTACAAGAGTCCAACTAGGTGGGGTTAACATAAGTTGCATTTTTATCATCCCATTTTACAGGTGAGGAGACTGAGGCTCCAATAGGGAAAATAACCTGTCCAAGTCACACAGTACAGGCAGCAAAGCTGGAACTCTAACTCAAACCTGTCTGACTCTAAACTTATCTTCTAGGTAACTGTGCTCCAAGTAGAAGTGTGTGTGTGTGTGTGTGTGTGTGTGTGTGTGTGTGTGTGTAGCTATAACTGTAGCAGCACCTATTGCACAGGCTCCATAAACTGCATAGTTGAATAGAGAAGACTAAGTCTGTCTAAAAGAGAGCAACGGGAAGGTCCAGAATAAAATCTGAAGAAGAGCTGTGGCAAAGATGTTATGTAAGAGGAAAAAGGAGAGGGTGGATAGGGTCCTCCAGGCTGGAAGTACTGCAGAAGCAAAGGTATGGAGGTGGGAATGAAGCTGGTCTGCTCAGGATCCAGAGAAGAGAGCCACTTGAGAACAGAAAGAGTCAAGGTCAGAGAGTCTGGGCAAGCCTGGATGTCTGGCTGCAGCACAAAGAAGCCATAATATTCATATCTGATCAGGGGAAAAGTCACCATCACTATCACCATCACCATCATCATCTTCACCAACCTTTATTAAATACCTACCGTGTGCTAAGTGATCTAAGCACTCTACGTGTATTATTTTATGTAATTTCTCATCATCTCTCTTAGGTAGGTCTTATTATTATCCTCATTTTACATGTGGAAACTGAGATCCAGGGAGGTGAAGTACCTGAACCATGGTCACTCAACAGTAAGTAGCCAAGCTAAGACTTAAACCTAGGTCTGCCTGACTCATGGCCCATGATCCTAACCCTGGGAGGGGGTCCTCTGAGATCTTTGGGAAAAAAAGAAGCTGGACTGGTCAAGGTCAGGGTGGGGAAGGGTGGATGGGCAGCAGCACCCACCTTAGCCAGAGCTGGTACCCACCCTCATTCTCAAGTTTCCTCTTCTCCAGCTCGGCTTCTATCTGGTCCAGCACCATGGCCAGCTCCCCAAGGATCTTCTTCAGGTAACTCACATCATCATGCTCCAGGATCTTGGCCTAGGAGCAGGGTAGGCAGGAGCCAGAGAAGCTGAGTTGGCCTCAATAGAGCTGGGATGACCAGCTCTGCAAATCCAATCTCCAAATATCCCCTCGAGAGTATAGGATGCCCACTGTTATCATAGCACCCTCAGCTGGAGCTCACAATATTCCTGTAAGCTTGGCTGTCCTGCCCAGATCCCTTTCGTGGGCTGGTACTCTCATATACCAGCTGCTATGAAGGTTGGTTGATAGTGGCTCATAGCTGACCCTTCTCCAGAGAACTGCTCTTGGCCAATGAGGAGGTGCCCAGAAATACTTGGAAGGTTATCCCACATCCTTTCAACCCTTCAACCCCTTGCCAGGCAATCTGTAGCCAATGGCTGATTGATATAAGGGTATAAAAGGCTGGCCCCTGGCCTCAAGGGGGATTGACCTTGTGGTGCCATTTGTGCTCCAGAGCTCCCTGTGGAAATAGATGAACTTGGTCCTTTCCTCTTTTCCATCCCTCCCATCCTTCTGGGTTCTCCTCAGAACACTCCCTCAACACCCAAGAACCTCTGTCCAGTGCAGGCTCTGCTATTAAGAACACACCCAACACACGAGGAAACTGAGGCTCCAGGAGGAGAGTGGCTTGCCCAAGGTCAAATAGCCAGTAAATGACAGAGGAGACAGGACTGGAAAAGCAAACAATGGATTTCCCATTTCATGTCACCAACTGATCCTCTACCTAGGACCAGCTTCTCCCAGTTGTTCTTTTCCATGGAAAAGATGGTGGGAAAGAGGAATGAGCAGGGCCGGAGGCACTCACCATGAGCTTCTTCTGTTTAGAAAGATAGGGCTCAGAGAGCTGGGGCTCCTCTTCATGGTCCAATTTCATGAGGTCCGTGGTGGCGTTGGCTAAATGTCCTGGGGAAAGAATAGGAAAGGTCCTGTCCTTCTGTTACTCAGTGTACCCCATCCCTTCCCCCACAGACTTGGAATAGGTCCCATGCAAACATTGGTCTGGGAAGTAACAACATCAACAGTCAACACTTGGTAGGCACAACGGGCTGAACATAGGGATGGGTGAGATGCCATCCTGCCGTAGGCTCAGGATAGTGGGAGAGACAGACATCTAAAGAAACCCCTATAAAACAGCATGGTCAATCTGTAATGAAGAGTGGACAGAATGCTGTGGGACCCAAAGAGCCATCTGCCTGGGGGACAGGCGTCAAGAAACCTCACTGAGGAGGCCACTCTATTCTTGGGGATGAGCAGGAGTTTGTCAGGCATGAATATAATGCTAAACTTGGAAAAACTCCTACTTCAGTGTGTCCCCCAAACCCCTTCTGTAGTGAGGAAACAGGTTCTGAGGGGCTAAATAATGTTCCGCACACATGAATAACAAGCATGTTTTGAACATGGGTCTGCCTGATTCTTGGTCTAGTGTTCATTCATTGCACCCCCACAAGGAAAAACTTGTTTATTTCAAGAAAAACTGTAAGAGACTTTTGGTGTCTTGAAACTTCCACCTGTGGTGAGGCAACTTCCCGGAAGATTTAGGGACTCGATGACCCATCTTTCCTTGGAAAACTGACCTTGATGCCAAAAAGGCAAGGGTGAAAGAAAGTAGGTCAATGATGGGAATTCAAGCCAGCATCTTGAGAATTATCCTTAATGGGAGAAAGGTAGTGTCCTATAATCTAACTTTGAAAATTTTTAACTTTGAAAGTGTAAACTATGAACTATGGGTTTTACAAGAGGAGGTGGAAATATTAAGTGGGATAAGATCTTGGGTTCTGTTCCCTTATTGGGGCAGGATTCTCTGGAATTCTTGGTCAATAAGTCTTGGACATGGTAGATCAAGCACGTGGTGGCACCCCAATCCTGCTCTGCCCCCTCCCCTGGGCCCCAACTCAATTTGGATATCCTTGGGCTTCTTGAAGACATCCTGGCCCGACCTATCTCATCATCTTCCCTGCATTCTCCCCAGATTGCAGCATCCCCACCACACTAAGCAAAGCCAGATGCCTAAGGATTGTCCTCAATCCCTCCGTCTCCCTCCTCCCCACACCAAATCAGCCCCAGGTCCTGTTGATTCTTCACCTTAATATTTTTCATACTTACCTTCTCCCTTTCAATCTTTTCACTATCCCTGTTAATCTGTTGCTTGGATGATTATGATTTACCCGTCACCTGCACTTTCTCCACTCTAAGCCCTTTCCCACTCTGACAGAGACATCTTCCTCAAAACACATTTGATCATGCCACTCCCTACTTAAAACCCGCCCCAGGCCGAAACCGGTTTGGCTCAGTGGCTAGAGCGTCGGCCTGCGGACTGAAAGGTCCCAGGTTCGATTCCGGTCAAGGGTATGTACCTGGTTTGCGGGCACATCCCCAGTGGGAGATGTGCAGGAGGCAGCTGATCGATGTTTCTCTCTCATCGATGTTTCTAATTCCCACTCTGGCAGAGACATCTTCCTCAAAACACATTTGATCATGCCACCTACTTAAAATCTGTCCCAGGCTCCTCACTGCCCTCAGATAATGTCCAAGCTCCTCAACTGGTCTTAAAAGACCCAGCAGGATCCACTTCTTCTCCCCACATTGACTCCATCTTTCACTGAGCTCCCCCAACTGTCCCTATCTCCAGATGGTAACATTTTAGCCACTCTACTAGTAAATACTTAACATTTCCTGAATGTGCCTGACCATTTCAAACCTCCAGGCCATTGCTCACATTCTTCTTCCTCCCAGAATAGTCTTCTGTATTCCTGAAAATCCCCTTCCAGATACAGCATAAGACCACCTCTTCCATGAAGCCTTTCCTGATCTTCTAGGAAAACTGATCACTCAGTGCCTTAGTCATCCAGTGTACATGGTGCAGGTGTCTGCCAGAGAATGCAGACACACTACTCAGAGCTGCCACGCACAATTCCATTCACACTGTCGTCTATGAGAAAAGTGCCCCCTGGATTGTGCAGTGCACAACCTGTCCTGCTGCACATGGAGATTTGATGCTCATGTACTTATCTCTGGATGTTTGTGTCTCCCACTAGAATCTGAGCTTCTGGAAAGAAGTGGCTATGTCAGATTTATCTCTGTTCTCTTAAAACCCAGAACAGACCTGGCACAGAAAGAGCTCAGTGAGTGTTGAATGAATAAAGGAATGAATGAATGAATGAAATGATTAAGTAAACGGGTACAAAAGTTGTTAAATTTCTGACTTCTGAGATTTCTCCATTCACTACCCTATCTCCTGGCCTGATAAAAACCCAATAAACACATTCCAAGATCTTTCCACTTTGGGGCTATATTAAGCCTCATTGATGTTTTATGAATTTGAAGGTCAAGTACAGCATTTTCTCTCTTACTAGTCACTGGGGTTGCCCTATGGCTCTCTTCAGACACCAGGGGGACAGACCAGGCCAAGGGAAGACCTTGGACTTTTGTATCCTGTGAGGTCTCTCCACCCCTCTCCAGCTGGGCTGGAGCCCTGGGATCCTTTCAGCCTCTTCAAAGGAGGAAGCAGGCTTGGCCTGCTCTGGACCCCCACTGCCTTCCAGGTACCTCCAAATGGCCCAGAGTAGGAAGGGGGAGCACCTCCAGCCTCCAGAAACACTTAGGGACTACCTCTGTCTAGTCCAGGCCACTATCATTGCTCACCTAGCTGACAGTCAGGACCTCCTGACTGCTCTGCCCATTCTCAGTTGGGTGATCTTTGTAAAATGCAGATCCAATCATGTCACTTCCCATCACTGTTTCTCCACTCACTGCTCTTTGGATAAAATTCCAGTTCTGCCAGACCTGCTCCCCAGACTCACACTATCACCCTTGGGCTATACTTCAACCACATTGAACTTCCTTCGGTCCCCAGAACACACCATGCCCTCTCCTACCCTTGAATCTGAAAGGACTCTCCTTCTCCTTCCCCTTTTAACTTATCCTTGGATGTGGGTCATCCCTAGACATTGCTGCATTTCAGAATCCTCCATGACCCCAGAGGTTGGGATGGGCATCTTCTATGTTCCCACAGCCTCCTTAGCAAACAGTTTGGTTTTGAACAGATTATGCATACATACTTGTTTAAAAATTCAAACAACATTAAAGAATGTTGTGTGAAGAGTAACTCTCCTCTCATTCTGTAGTCCCTTATTTCCACTCCCCCAAAGCAAGCACTACTGGCAGCTTCTCATACATCCTTCCAGAAATACTCCTTGCTTTGCAAGCACTTGTGCATCTAATTTAACCTCTTTCTAAATATGCTAAATAGCACACTGATGTTTTTTTCCCCTTCACTTTTTTTCCTACTCTCTAATACATCTTAGCATTCCATATGCTTCTTTATTTTTTTAAACAGCTGCACAGTATTCTATTGTGTGAGAGGTCTAGAATTTATTTACCCAGTTCCCAACTCATGGACAACTGGGTTACTTCCATCCTCTTGCGAGCACTTCCTATACTGCAATGAATATCCATGTACATACTTCTTGGCGCACACACCCAAATGTAACTGCAGGATAATCTCCAAGGTCTGGTCCTTTCTATGTTTGATATAAAGGGCCAGACTGTCCTGGAGAAGTTGTTCAAATTTACTTATCTCACACTAAGGAGTCCAGGAAAGGGTATAATTACCTGGTCATTTGTCTTTCTGCTTCCATGGAACTGCTACCCTGGGATGATAGAAGCTATGTCTGTCCTCATCTGTCCCAAGCCCCCGGCCCAGGGTTTGGGTAATAAAAAACCTCATAAATATTTTTGATTGAATGGGGATGGGACAATATAGATAAATCCTGAGTCTTGTTCAAAGATGAGCTTGAGTTCCACAATCTGCCCCCTTCCCACCTTTAAACATTAAACATTTCTTTCAGAGGGGGTGACCATTACTGGGCACCTATCATCTACTTCGAATTATCATGCTTTGTCTGTCTGTAGGACCCCATGGTTTCTGCACAGAGCCTGGACAAAAGTCTGTAAACACTTGTTGATGGATACTCTGATTTCATCTAACCCCCATTTACTGGATGCTGGAAACAAAAGGATGAACTAGGCCATGGGCATGTCCAGGCTACCAGCACATGGGTGATGCTTGAATTAGAAATCAGAAACCCTATAGGGGGCCTTGCCATATCTGGGCAGCCTTCCTTGGTGGTGCCAACACTGATGTCACTCAATGCTGGGCCACCAACTATAGCCCTGACCTCCCTGGGCCCCAACCCTAGGTGTCTGGGGCTGGGACTCCTGTGGGGAGGTGCCCAATTCCCCATGAACAAGACAAGATTCTAGAGAGATAAACAGCCTTGTAGCCTCTGTATGGGATGGCAGGACAAGAGTAGGGGGCAGGAGATGGGAATGAGAGACAGAGACTGCAAGAGAGGGAGAGACATTCAGTGTAATACAGGGTGAATGAGATGGAAGGCCAGAGAGACGTTGTAGAGAAAACGAGTGAGAGAGAGAGAGACCCAGAGAGATTAACTGAGACAGAAAGGGACAGAGAGAGGAGAGAAGGAGGGAAAAGGAGAGTAAGATACACCAGTGAGAGCAAGAGGAGGAGGACTCCCATTGAAAGGGAACAGGCGGGCAAGGAAGGGGGTCAGCAAGGGGCTGGTGCACCTGCCCCGGGCACTCACTGCGGATCTCAGCCGTAGCGTACTTGGGGATCATGGAGTCGGTGGTGAGCTCGGGGTGCAGGATGCAGCCGTGTGTGTAGGCGTCCATGGGCAGTGAGTCCAGCAGCTCGCGGTACTGCAGCACCCGTGCGTGCTGTGGGCTGCCCGCCTCGGGCATCAGGGCTACCACGTGCTCTGCGAGACACAGCCAGGGCTGGACCAGGGGCATGAGGCCCGACTCGGCCACCTGCCCCTGATTCAGAAAGGCCAACATATGGCACCCCAACTTCCAACCCCAGGATCCTGGAAATCCAAAATGTTGTGGCCCAGAGGTCCCCGGCCCACACCCTTTCCCGGACTCCTTGAGATACAGTCCTCATCCAGTTGATAGGGGATCCTAATGGTCCGGTCCACCACCCCTCCTCACTGGAGACCTCCAAGCTGTCCTCTGAGGGACAGGCAGGAGCCTGGGCTCCTTACTGCCAGCCTTCAACAGAAGCTGGAAACCTGGATGTTTAAAATGTAACTTTCTTTGATTTTTATTGTTAATGCTCTTGAGGATATTTTTCCATTGACTTTTAGAGAGAGTAGAAGAGAGAGGGAAAGACAGAGAAATATCAATGTGAGAGAAAACACATCGATTGGATCTCCTTGATTTTTAAATGTTGGCAACTAATTCATATTCTTTTTAAACTGCGTGTCTGGGCCCTGATCCCCTCTCAGCTGCTGTTTGCAGCCTCCGCTGCGGGCTGTGAGCTCCTGAACCGAAGGAAGGCCAGAGGGAGGGAGGGTAGGGGACATAGGATTCTATGGGGTTCTGGGGTGTCAGCCCTATTCTTGTCTGCAAGGTTCTGGGATATCTGGGCCCATGTCTGTGGGCTTCCTGGGAGTCCACGGCCCTGACTATGCTTATAGGTTTCAGGGGGCTGGGCCTGCTGGTGCCCTGGCATCCTTGGAAGATCTCTACCCTGACTGTGGGGACTGTTCATGCCAGAGGGGATCCCAAGGGTCTGTGGCCATGCCTGTGACTCTAGAGTTCTTGAGGAAGGAAGCTATAGCCCCAGAGCTTCAAGGGGGAGGGTGTCTGGACCATGCCCTTTTTCTGTAGTAGTACCAGAGTGGGGGCGTTGTGGAGATCTGTGGCTATGCAGTTCCTAGGGGTATCTGAGCCCGTGATTCATCTTGGGGGAGGCTGAGCCTTGCCCATGGCTCCAGTGGGTTTCCAAAGGATTCCCAAGGCTCTGGGACCCCATCTGAACCTGCAGGGCCTCTGGGTGGGGGCGGCAGCCATACCTCCTGTGAAGGTGCGCTCCACGTAGTCGATGATCTGGTCGTAGTCACTGATGATGTTGTCGCGATGGATGATGACGGGCACCTCCTCACCTAGGTTGAGCCGCATGAACCAGGGCTCCTTGTGCTCGCTCTGAGGCAGGCTCACGTCCCGCTCCTCACATGCCAGGCCCTTCTCTGCAATCACCAGCCGCACCTGCAGGGGCCAGGGTCAGAGCGGGGAAGGCAGGTGGACACACAGGGACACTCTGCCCAGGTGGGATTGGGCATGTGGGGAGGGAGGTCAGAGGTCACACACAGGAGGGGACACTGTTTCTTCCAGGCCATTCTTGGGCCCCTGGGTAGGGGGGGCTATCTCCCAGGGGCCTAGGGCCTGGTGGTTATGGGGCTGGGTTTCACAGCTGGGCATACCTGGGGATAAAATTCCTGGTTCTGCTGTGTTTGAGCAGATTCCTTAAACTTTCTGAGCTTCAGTCTCCTTATTTGCGAAATGGAAGTATTAATAGTACCAATCCAGTATCTGGTGTATAGATGGCACTCAATTCCCAATTATCATTATCATGATTGGATTCTCAGCCTGGTCTCCAGGGGTGGAGTTGGCCGGGAAATTTGCAGAAATTCTTATCGTCAGCAGCTAAATTTTTCAAATTATTTGAGGGGGAAAAAAGAGGAAAAAAAGAACTTGCCAACATCTATCGAGCCCTTTACTGTCCCCAAATACCTTCCCATCTGGTTGCTGGATGCTCATAGTAGCCTCCCAGAAGAGGGCAGAGCAGAGACTATCTCCTTATTTTTACTGATAAGAAAACTAAAGGCCAGAGAGAGTAAGTAACTTACCCAAAGTCACACAGCAATTTAGTGGCAGACCTAAACCTGCGAGCAATGGTTCTTGACCCTCCAGACCAGTGCTCTCTGCCCTGGGGGCTCCTTCCAGGGAATCCTGGATCTGCCCCCTCCTTAGCCTTTCCCCTATGTCTCCAGAGGGTCCCAGACAAACATTTGAGCTGGTAGAAGCTAATGGAGAGCTTTGAAGTAGGGGCATGTCCTAACCCAGCCCAAAATTTCTGAGCTGGAAAACAGCAATCACCTAATCCAAATGTCCCCTTCCTGTGGACTGAGACTCAGAAAGAAGGCTGGACTTACCCAAGGCCCCCCTGCAAAAAGATGGCAAGTGCCTCCACCCCTCCTGAGCATCAGTGTCCCCACAGCCAATAGGAAGCTCTGGGAACTGGGCATCCCCAGCCTCCCTCCCTGATGTCCGGAGTTAAAGACCCAGAAGACACAACATGGGGTCATGTTGGGCTGGGTGCCAGACTGTGTCAATTCAAATCCCTATAGCACTTACTTGCTGAACTTGGCTTTACAAATAGCTTTACATCTGTGTGCCTCAGTTTCCTCACCTGACCAATGGGAGTCCCAATGGCAATTCCCTCAGAGGCCTGTTGTGAGAATTAGATGATTAGTTCCTGTGGAACAGTGCCTGGCATACAGTAGAGGTAATGTATCTTAGCTACTTGCATTGGACTAGGTTTCGAAGGCAGACAGACATGGACTTAAAACCTGGTTCTGTTGTTTATTTGCTGTGTGACTTTGGGCAAGTCACTGTACCTCTCTGATCAGTTTCTGTGAAATGAGGAATGTAATCCACTTCAAGGCTGGCTCAAGGTGGAGATGGGATGATGTGGGTAAAGTCCCAGACAGGAAGTTAATATATGGTTTTTAACATCACTGTTATCACTCACACACACACACACACACACACACACACACACACACCACAACCCCTGGTTGATGTCTTAGAGTGCTTCATGCCCCATGCTCATAGCTAACATGAACACCCCCTTCTGTTTAGTGAACTGTGGGGAGGGAGAGGTAATTGGCACCGAAACTCAACACTCATTCACAAATTCATTTGCTGCCTTAGCCAGAGCAGGTCCTGCAGAAGGCACTGGGAGGCAGGCTCTCAAATCCTCACCCTGGCTCTGCCATGTCAATGCTGTGTGACCTTAGAGCTATCACTGCCCCTTCCTGAGCCGCCTCTTTCTCAGCAGTAAAACAAGGGGCTGCAGCCCTGCAGGGAGCTGACACTACATTCAGACCACGCAGGAGACAGGCCGTGGGAGGGAACTGCTGGGTCTGTCTGAGAAGGGGAGGAACCGTGGCAGAGAGTGAGCACCCGGGGGTGTATCTGTTGGGTCTGGGTGTGTTAGTGTGTGTGCCTGAGCGTGAGTAGCAACTGTGTGAATGAGCAAATGTGTGTGTGTGTCTGTGTGTGCATATGTGTGCATGAGTGTATATGGATGAGTGTACCAGTAAGTGTGAGTCTTCAAGTATTATATGAACACGTGTGCATTAGTGTGGACAGAAGTGAGTATGCATGAGTGAGAATGCCTGTGTATGTGTACATTTGAGCTCATGGGCAGTGACTGCCCTGGAGAAGCCCCAGAGCGGTTGAGGCTGGAGTTTGGCTGAAGCCAAACGGCCCCGTTCCCTTCCGGCCTATCCTGGCATCCTCCTGCCTCGGAGGTCAGGCTCCGCCCAGTCATCCAGCCTCAGGGCCAAGCTGGGGCCTCTGAATGGATGGAAACAGAACCCAAACCAAGCCCTTGCCCTTGGCAAGTCCAGACATTTGGCCTCTGTCCTGGCAGGGCATCTGTCCTGCCCTGAGATTCCAGTGAGGGTGCCAGGTGGGGCTGCTGCCTGGGAAGGGGACTATCTTTAGAGGCGTAACAGTCCTGCTTGGAGCTGCCTCAGGTCACATGGGCAAGCGGCCAAGGAGACTTTCTCCTTTAGCTGAGTTGAAGGCCAGAGCCCATGCGCCATCCTGCAGGGGAGGGGAGGCAGGAGGAAGCCAGGCCCAGGGGAAGGGCATGCAGTTGCCAAGGCCATCTGCCATCTCTGCCTCCTGGGGGCTGGAGCAGACTTAGGTGGTCACCACTCAGTGTGACCAGACATCAGCCATCTCTGGGAAAATTCTCTTCATTGTCATGGTCAGGCACTGTCCCCCCTCACCAAGCCCTTGTTTCTGAGGCAACTGTGATGGGTTGAATTGGTGTCTCTTCCCAGGCATTTAGTTGCTGTGTGATTTTGCAAAAGACACTTAGAGTCTCTGAGCCTTAGTTTATTTATCTCAAATACCTTGGTTTTAAATTAATAAACTTTATATTTTAAAGCAGTTTTAGGTTGACAGAATCAAATACCTTTTTTTAAAAAAAATGTAACACCTATGGCTTATAAATTCATTTTCCAACACTTATTTATCAAGTGCCTACTCTGTGAGACTCAGCAGTGAACAAGGATCTCTGTCCTCAGGAAGCTGGCATTCTAGTGGGAGAAGACCGATAAGCAGGAGAAGACAGATAAGCAGTTAATATGATAGGATATGTTAAAAGATGGTGAGTGCAACAGAAAAAAGAAAAAATACATCAGGGTAAGAATTGGGGATGTCAGGGTACAAGGGAGACAGGTGATCATTTTAAATAGGGTAATCCATTGGGGCAGCCTCTTTGAGAAGGTGACCTTTGAGCAAAGGTTTGAATGAAGTGAGGCAGTGATCCACACAGGGATCTGGGGAAGACTGTTCCAGGCAGAGGGACAGACAGTGCAAAGGCCCTGGGGTGGGAGCATGTCTGCAGTGTTTGAAAAGGATGTGTGGGAGGAGGCCAGTGTGGCTGGAGCAGGGTGGACGGGGAAGAGGACAGAAAGGACCATGCACAGGGGCTTATAATTGAGACTCCCAGACCCAGGGGTCTAGGAATAAACTTAGAGAGTCCTTGAACTAGGATGGAAATATTGCATGTTTATTTTCAGTAATCTCAAACTGACATTTAGCTTTCTCTTCCGTTATGAGTGTAGGCGATAAAGCATGGTAGTGTGAGTATGCCTGGAATATTGTCAGCCCTAGGAGTCAGATATCTTCATAACTTCACAGTTGTGCCAGTTACACTTATCACGACTTCAGTATCACAGCTGCTATCAGTCCTGCCACTAGATGTGTTATATAATGGGTTAATATAGAAACATGTCATTACATAACAAATTTGTTTTAAAAATATGTCAATAGCTGCACTTCAATACAATTGGTTTCCCTTCTAACCCAATGATCCTGTGTATATAATTTTATTCAGTTAAAAGCATTATTCTGAGAAAGGTCCAGGGGCTTCCCCTGACTGATGAGGGGTCCATGACCCAGCAAGGTTAGGATCCTACAGTAGGGCCTGAGGCCATGATGAGGACTCGGGCTTTTTCCCGGAGGGACCTGGGGAGCCACTACAACAGTGGTTCTCAACCTTGGCTGCACATTAGAATCACCTGGGAATCTTTTTAAAATCCTGATTTCTGGATTCTAACGTGCAGCCAAGGTTGAGAACCACTGCACTACAAGCTTCGGAGCAGAAGGGTGAGATTGCAGTTTTCACCTGTGGGCCTCCTGGGGGTGGGGTAAATGGTCAAGTGCAGCAATATGGACATAGCTGGGGGTCAGTGCCCAAGAGCTTGAAAGGCAAAGGTAGAGGTCATTTAGTTCCCTGCTGCCACATCTGGGAGGGGGCTTCTGGGAGACCTGCTCCATCTTGGGTGTCAGGACTGGCCCGCGGCAGGACCCAGACCTGGGCCTATTACTCCTGGCAGGGGCTCCCCACAAGTACATCCAAGACAAGGGCAAACTCTGAGAGGATGAGGACAATCTTGAACCAGGCTCTCATACCATCCCTCTGTCTCCCATCCAGTTCCCACCACTGGGGCCTGGCTCCTGAGGTTCCGGGTGGGAGGAGATTCTAACATCTGGAGATCAGGCTGATTCATCTCCAAACCCCCAACAACCTACACAGAGCCTGGCACACAGTAGGTGTTCACCATGCATGTATAAAACTTATGGGCGAGTCCCAGTGGGACCTTGGTTAATGTGACCTCTCCTGTACCTAGTACTTTATCGACATCCTAACACCTATTAGTAACAGAGCCTGACTCCACGCCAGGCACTGCTGTCAGCACTTTTTGTGCATCATCTCATTTCACCATCAAAATAGCCCTCTGATGAAGGTACTGCCATTAGCTCCATTTTACAGATTATAAAACTGAGGCTTTGGAGAGACAAGCGACCTGTCCAAAGTCCCATAGCAAGTTACTGGGGACAATGGTAATCCCACTAGAGACTGTCTGGCCTCAGAGTCTACCCTAAACTGGGATCACTCAAAG